TCATTTTGGTATCAAATTGTTCACAATATAAGGGTGCACACTTTAAAACTAGTCCCATATTAATCAAACAGCAACTAGAATTTTAACAAATATTTTAATTTTTGAAGCTCATCACCACAAAAGTATTCCTAATCTTTCTAACGTTTTGACCTCAATCGTCAGGCTACGTCGTTCATTATGGTATCAAATTGTAAGCCATTTAAAGGCGCTCATTACAAAACCACCCCCAGAATGATCTGATAAAAATTTAAATTTTAACAAACATTTTAAAATGGGACACAACATGCGTCCCCGGCGAACAAACGTGAGGAAAATTACGGACGCATAATTGGTCCCAGTTGCACAAAAGTGTTAAAGTACTGCGTAAGGTTTTAAAAGTCCTGTGGCTACACAGAGTTCACATCAGCTTCCTCAGAGCTCCAATAAACAGATGCCATTTAAAAAAAATCATGGGTAACATTCTTGGCTATGAAACCTCAGTACTGAGTTAGCAACCAAGGCTGGCACACAGCATAAGCTAACAGCACTGCTGTTCAGCTTGTGACCACAGCATCGCCTAAGAATGTCAAAATCTATACAGTATATACTCGACCTACAAGGGGCTGTACCCTGGTCGTTAAATCTGGGGCTCCGCTAAATACTGAAGTATTAAAATGTTGGTAGCTTTATAGTGATATTTGGGAGAGCAACAGGAGGAATGGTTTTGGTGGGTGGGTGGGCTGGCTGGCCGATTAGTTAACTTAGCTGGCTAGTTAACTGACTGGTAAGTGGGGTGGGTGGATGGGTGGGTGGGCAGGCAAGTGGGCTGGCTGGATGGATGAATGGATAACTGGCTGGCAGGCAGAAGTGGGGGTGGGTAGATGGACTGGCTAGGTAGTGGACAGTTGGGATGGGTGGATGGATTGGTTGCAGACTGGCAGGCTAGCAGGTGGGTGGGGTGGATGGATTCATGGCTAATTCATCCAACTCAGTTGGTGTGTGGATAGGAAGAGTGAGCAGGTAGGTGGGGAGGGTTGATTGCTCACAGGGTGGGAAGCCAGAGTGAATGGGTGGGTAGGTGGATGACTGGCGGGAAGGCGGTGGCAGGTTGGACAAGGTAGGTAGGGCAGGGTGGATTGGTAGGTAGGTATGTGGATGGATTGGCAGCTGGCTGGAAGGCAGGTGGGGTAGGTAGGTGCATGGGTGGGAAGGCATGCTGGTTGAGTGGGCGGGTGGGCAGTGGATGGATGGATTGGTGGCTGATTGGCAGGTAGGCAGGGTGAATGGGGCTCGGGCTAGCAGGGTAAGCAAGCTCGGGTGAATTGGGTGGGTTTGGGCGGGTGGGCATTGGATGGATGGATTGGGGGTGGCTGGATGGCTGGGTGACTGGCAGGATTGCAGGTGTACAACCACAGACTGGCTTATAGCTCACACCCATCCCCCGCTACATCCTACCTCCCCTCATTGGGTTCTTTTTGGGGGAGTTCTTTTGATATTGTTGTATGGCATCTAGCATTAAACCATGCAGTGGTTTGTTTTGATACACCTACCTTATTGGCGATTCCATGGTTATCTTGAGATTATCTCGAGTTGATTTCGGGGCTTTAGTGTCCCCGTGGCCAGTCCTCGACCAGGCCTCCACCCCCAGGAAGCAGCCCTGACAGCTGATTAACTCCCAGGTACCTATTTACTGCTAGTAACAGGGACATAGGGTGAAAGAAACTCTGCCCATCGTTTCTCGCCGGCGCCCGGGATCGAACCCGGGACCACAGGATCACGTGTCCAGCGTACTGTTCGCTCGACCGGCCGGCTCCCATGGTGATGGCAGAAATGATAGACTTTACATGTAAAATATTCATGTGCCATCACTCCCTGTGCCTCTTCGCAGGAGCCAGGTTCTGGTTCACGGTCCCCGGTAAGTATACAAGAACTCTGTGACTGATGACACTCAAGTAGTATGACACTTATTAACGAACAAGGTAAAGAGTCAGGAGGAACAAATCAAGGAACTAGTGAAATAAAATGAGGTTTGGAAAATGAAGTGTGGTGAATTTGACGAAATTAACAAGAAAATAATCTCATGTGGTGAACAAATCCAAGAAACCCTAAAGGCCAACAGAGAGTTAGGCAAGGATATGCAAGGAGAAACTTCATGGACCACTCACATAGAGGAGGTTAATAAAGAACTAGAAAAGTATAAAGAGGAAACTAATGAGACGTATGAACAAGCTGTATAAAAGAAAGATGATCAAGGAAGTGTGTTTGAAAGTCAAAACCAGAAATGACCAATAAGAAGCAGAAATTAGGCAAGCAATTATGAAAAAACTGGTAACCAACAGTAAATTAGTACAAAACACTGCAGATAGAAGCAAGTCCATAATAATTTTGGGGCTTTTAGAAAATATCACCTAGGGTAGACAGAGCAGCAGAAGAGATGAAAATCATAGAGAAAATAATAGGTTTAGGAGAAGGCCTCAATTCTAAGGAAAATGTCAGTGATTTTAAGAGAATAGGAAAAAATGAGAGAGACAAGAACCCAACATCAGCTTAACACTTTCCGGCTCCAGGCGAATGTAAAAAAAACAACCGTAAGTGCTCCCGGCGTTTTGCCGCGTAAGCGTAAAAACAAAAATGTGTATACTCTTTTTACTCTCCTGACCTTAGTTCTCGAGCTACGTATTTCATTTTGGTACCAACGTGTTCGCAATAAAATTCTCTAGAAGAACATCAGTAAAAAAAGTCACGAAACGTATAGGGATACCAGCACCAAATAAATAACTACGAAGATGACTCGCCGTGAGTGCCCAACAGCAACAAAATGTTTTTACTCTTGGGATTGTTATCACGTCCACACTTGTCCTACAGCGTTAATTTTGGTATCAATGGACTCGCAATGAAATTCCCAACACGGTGATATGAATATAAGCGTAGAATAATGATTGCAGCCCGCCCGCAAGAGTGTGGGAAGTGGTGAAATTGTTACCCGGTATCGGTGACGGGACGACGCATGGCGCTTTGAAAGTTTATACTTATTTCACTCTCATGACATTATTATTCTATGTACGTCATTCATTTTTGTGTCAATGTGTTCGCAATAGAATGTTCTATGAGCCCGTAGGTAAAAAAGATCAACAAAGCGTAAGATAGAATAGCGCCAAATATAAAACAACGCTGGAACATATCAGTGAGAGTCAAACACACACGAAATGTTTTTACTTTTGTTATATTTGTGAACCTTTCATGAACTTATTGTACCATGCAGCCTATTGGTGAGAAAGAGAGCCTCATGGCGCGCAGTTTGAAACAAACCCAAAGTAAATCGGATAAAAATTGAATTTGATACAAATATTTTAAAAGAGGACATAAGTTTATGTCCACTTAGCGGTAGCGGGTAGGCGAAACAGGGCGCCGGGAGGAGTCCTCAGGGCCAGAAAGTGTTAAGATGGTGGCACTTCAGTATCTTCTTGTTCCAAGCTTTTTTTTGCCCTCTAACCTGTGTGTATTTTGGCCTACTCTCTAATCTAATACCATAAAAATCATATTAAAGAATATATTAGGGAAGAATTAAATTAAAGTAATGTACTGCATTCCAAAATGAGGGTGGCATGTTGTCCCACAGCAGGCAGATGTAATTATGTATATGTACTAAAGTTAGGTGTTACTGTTCTCCTTCGGGATTTCCCTAGACAAAAACACTAAGCTGGTAAGTTGACATTAATAAGTTCCTGGAAGCACTTTCAATAAAATTAATCACAGTGCAAACTACAAAATTTTCTATAACTAATATATATAAAAAAAAAAAAAAAAAAAAAAAAAACTCCAGAAGGGCAGGATACCATATGTTATCCTTTCTCCAAGTTCCATATCAGTTCTTGCTGGCCTTTAGTACACCTATCACATCATTCTCTGAGCTCAAAGGAATGACAAAACCATAGTATCCTTACTAACGAAAACCTAATAAAGAGTAAATACAGTGGTACCTCAGCTTACGAATTTAATCCGTTCCCGGAGACGGTTCGTAACCCGAAAATTCGTAAACTGAAGCGAATTTTTCCACAAGAAATAATGTAAATTGAATTAAGCCGTTCCATATTCCCAAAAACATTAACTTCAAAGTAAATTTTATATCTAATTCACCCAAATCTTTAGTACTAAATTATGTACAAGTTATTGCTTACCTTTATTGATGACTCTTGTTGGTGTATGGAAGACGGTGAGGAGGAGGGGGAGGGGGAGGGGGGGGGAGGAGAGGTGTTTGTGTTTGGAAGTGGAATCCCCTTCCATTATAACATCAGGCAGTGATGACTTCTCTGAGGTACACTCTCTCCCCTACGTTTTGCAGGAGTACCACTAGGACCTGGTTGTGGATCATTGCTTCCTTGTCTTACTAAGAATCTGTCTAAAGACACTTGTTTTTCCCTACATTTTAACACTTGTCCATAGTGAGACATCACACTGTCATTTAAAAGGTCAATGCAATGGCCTGCCACAGCTTTATCTGGACGAGTTTTTCAACAAAACATTGTAGTTCTTCTCTTTGCATACTTCACACATTTTCTTAATGAGGAAAGGACATCATCTACTACAGGACATCATCTACTACCTCTACTCACAACTATTTTCTTAGGTTAAACCTTATCGCTGACTTTCTTGGGACTCATGGCAGGAATTATAATAATTACTTTTATGTTCAGATACCCAAAAATCCGAAAAACCCTGAAATTCTTTACAAAGAATTCAGGCCCAATTGTCACTAGGCGGGAAGCACTGGTAAACTGAGGCGCGGTTGCCATGCCAAAACACGCAGGTCGGTCACACGTGTATCAACAAACTACGTTACCCGAGGCAAAGTTCGTAGCCCGATTCAGATTTTACGAAAAAATTGGGCTTGTAACCCAAAAAGTTCATAAAGAGGGGCATTCATAAGCCAAGGTGTCACTGTATTATACATAATAAACGGTAAAAATATTTAGTAACCAAACAAACAATAATTGTTGAGGAACAATTTTAAAAGTACTTACTGGTTGAAAGTCATCCTTGTACAGCATCATATACTCCAGGCAGAGAGCCCGCACTTTAACGTGCTCGGTTTGAGTCATCAATACCTGAAATTAAATTATAACCATTAAAACTTATAATACTTAGTATACCTTCATAATCTATTTGCAAAATTACAATGCAAAAAACCAGCGTTGAATGTAATGAAACGCCATTTTCTGGGTAAGCCCTGGAGGCTCCCTGGAGTTTATCGGGCTAAAGTATGTTATATTAGACCGGGACATTAGCCAAGGAGTTCAGACCTACCAGGGACCAGCGCCAGAACCTGGCCCCTTCAAAGAGGTTTCAGGGAGCAATGGCCCTGGAAAACACCCAACACCTGGTTTGCATTTTCCATATCTGCCATCAACTGGGGTTAGGCACCCAGAAAAGTAGGCATAACAAAACAAACCCCACATGGTAAAAAAACTAAAACAAAAACCGAACAGAGAGGTAGAAACTCCCTACAATCCCAAGGAAACAAGTAAACATCACACTTTACTGCCGCACCGATTGTCCGCACAGCCCTCCCCGCCCCGAGAGAGGGAGGACGGAGCCCCAGACCTGACTGCGCCGGTCAGGTCCGGGGCTCCGGCGGGCGGCCAGGAACCTGTGCGACCCTCAAATCCTTGTGCCCAAAATGAGCCCTAGACATCACCAACACAGCAGCAAAAGCTGCAAACGTCCGAACAGCACAGGCACAAGGATAGACCGCAGGCTGTTAGACCTAAAACCTCTGCAGACGACCTGGGAGACCCGAGCCCCGAGCCTGGAAACAGGGAACGAGGGGAACAGGATCAACCCAAAGCGCATCCCCAGACACGGTACGCAGGTAACGGCAAAAAAAAAAAAACGCAACTGGACAACGCAGGACACACCCCCGGCCGAACCAATCAAGCATCAATAACCCAATGACCCCCCCCCCAGGTCAGCAGCCGTCTCGACTGTCGCCAGAAGGATGGAGAAAGGCTGCAAACATACAAACCTACCACCAGTACCAGAGCAGAAACCTGAACTGAAGGGGCTACCACAAACTGAGGAAAAGGTAAGAGGGCACCCTGATCAAGGACCACAACAGCTCAGGCGACGCATGAACAGGCCGGAGGTGAAACAAAACACGAGAAAGCGTACGGAACGGGGCAGATGTGACGTCCACCCCAAACGCAAGCTGGAGCGGCTCCGCCAGCACCACACAAAATGAGGCGACAGTAAGAAACATCAAATAACTGTAGTTCTGAAAACCTAAGAAAGGACAAGACAACCCAATGCGACAGAGAAGACGACCAACGAAGAGCAAGACAAAGGTGCATAAAAACACCAGGAACATCATACTGTCTCCAAGATGAAGCTCGCAGGTGGGACACCATCAACAAAGCCACCTGATCACCACAGAGATGGTGATACCCGCGTTAAAATACCAGACGCAAAGAGCTGAGGAGAAGGCCGAACCAGTCACGTATAGGACCGGTCCGACCTGCTGAAAGAGGCGGAGCCGCGGGAAAACGCCCCGGGTTCGGACACCTATCATGCATCGTCTGAAAATAAAGCTGGGCCGGCCACCAAGGGACCATGAGGACTACTCTCTTGGGAATGGGCTCCAACCAAGTCAGAACCCAAAGCAACAGCTGGACCGGGAGAAGAGGAACAGGTACCCCTACCTCAACCAGTCCTGCCGAAAGGCATTCACCGTGAACGCCTCGCAGGCGGGTAAGGGCGCCACATAGAATGGGCGACACCTAGACCACGCCGACTCGACGACACTCATGGCCAGGAGTCCATACGTCCGGCAGAACCAACGAAACGAGTCGGCGAAGACTGGCCAATCCGCTAACAGAGGAATGAACCGTGACAGGCTGTCTGCCAGGACGTAGGACACACCCCGGACATGAACCTCACGGTTAGCCAAACCCCGAGAATCCAGCAAACGAGCCACTTGAAGGGACCAACCCCAAAGCCAAACACCTAAGAGAAACCCCAGTGGTTCCAGCAAAGAACCACCAGAGAACAGTCCGAATAGAGCTGAATGGTAGAGCACCAAGTGACTCTAACCCTCCGAAGCGCAAACCAGACAGCCACGAACTCCCGAACCATGCTGTGAGCCCGACGGATGGACAGACCCCACCATCCCCGGCCGACCTGGTGAGCACTGGTCACAAAGCCCCAGCCGAGAGATGACCTTTCCATGAACACATCAAGCGAAGGCTCGGGGAGGTGCCAAGGCACGGAACCCCGAAAACCCCAAAGAGGAAGCTGGTGAAGCAGCACCAACATGAGATCCCCAGAGGAACAAACCCAACGATTGCAAGAGAGGCGGAAGGGAAGTCTCCGAAGGAACCAAATAGACGCCGAAGCCAAACCCGACCCTGCGGGGGGCAGACCAGCACATTGAAGTTCAGACTCCTGCAGAACAATTGCTCGAGCAACCGCCGAGCAACCCGGGACCCCCTCATGAGCCTCCGAAGGCGGGACCATAGCCGCAACACTTCTGGAGGGAAGGACAAGGAGCGGTCCATGAGCCCTAAGCAGGACCCAGCTAGGTCCGAACCCGGGATGGAAACAGATGGAACGGCCTCCAGATCACCAGGAAACCAAACCCGATGATCTGAAAAGAACCACACACCTGGCAAGCAGACAAGCGGACCGACTGGGAGCCCACACCAGCCAGTCGTCGAGGTAGGCCAGACACCGATTCCCAAGCAGACTCAGACAGGGCACCAAGATCCGGTAAAGTGCGTAAATACACCAAGTGCCAATTACAAACTAGGGAAGGCAACAAAAGCGGCAAGCCTGAAGTCCCACCACCAACTGTGCCAGTCCCGGAAAACTGGAGAAGAACGTGCCAAGAATGGACCTGGAGGTCCAGGGCCACCATCCAGGCACCAGGCCCAAACAGAAGCCATACAGGAGACAACAGTCCTCTAATGAGGGCATAGAATCCAGGGCGCAGACTGTAGTAGTCCAGAAGAACCGCAGATTCGCCAGGCCCGTGTCTGCATAGAGCCAGACGGGAACCCCAGAAGGATGGGGTGGATCGACCACGTCCATGAACCCACTAAGATGACATGACGTAGCGCAGGGGAAGAAGCCCACCCCGCCAGCCCCGAACCCCCCAAAGGGAAAGAAGCCTTCCGCCGCCGCCACCAGAGGCCGGAAGACAACCAAAAGCGCCCACTAACTGCGGGACCATGCAAGAGTCAACAGAGCAAGCTGCTCCCCCAGCGCCCCGTCAACAGCAAATGGAACAGAGCCCCTTCCGAAAGAAAAAGTATACATACAAATATACACACACATATACAGTATATATATTATGCACATATACACATAAATACACACACACACAAGATGTATTACACACACGTGGGTATACACATGTGCACACGTGTATGTGCCAAAGCTAGAATATGCAGCAGTTGTGTGGTGCCCATATCTTAAGAAGCACATCAACAAACTGGAAAAGGTGCAAAGACATGCTACTAAGTGGCTCCCAGAACTGAAGGGCAAGAGCTACGAGGAGAGGTTAGAGGCATTAAATATGCCAAAACTAGAAGACAGAAGAAAAAGAGGTGATATGATCACTACATACAAAATAGTAACAGGAATTGATAAAATCGATAGGGAAGATTTCCCGAGACCTGGAACTTCAAGAACAAGAGGTCATAGATATAAACTAGCTAAACACAGATGCCAAAGAAATATAAGAAAATTCACTTTCGCAAACAGAGTGGTAGACGGTTGGAACAAGTTAGGGGAGAAGGTGGTGGAGGCAAAGACCATCAGTAGTTTCAAAGCGTTATATGACAAAGAGTGCTGGGAAGACGGGACACCACGAGCGTAGCTCTCATCCTGCAACTACACTTAGGTAATTACACACACACACACACACACACACTTTTTCTTTCAAAATTTGAAAATTCAAAAGGTGACACCCCTAGGGTCAACACTTGCAGCAGAGGAGCTCCAGCATATTTCAACAATCCTAAGTATTGTAGTACAGGTTGATGGTAGTGAGTGGTGTCCCAGAGAACATAAAGGTATAGTGCTCTTGAAAAATAGGCGAGATAACAGGAAAGTGCTAAGGGAAGTGAAAAATCGGATGAGAAAAAGTTGCCCTAGTGTTTACAGTGCAGAGAAGAACATTCAAGATGGCCACTGGCAAGGGGAAAAACAAAACAGAGCTTGATTTTGAGGGATTCAATGAAGAAAGCATTGATATTAGTAGTCTACATAACAAGTTGGTAAATTTAGATACTATAGTGAACTCTCATGTAGAAATAATTAGTAAATTGAAAGAAAGTAATGACCATTTGAATAGCAAAGTTTTATGTCTTGAGGGTTTAGTGAAAGACTTGCGCAAGGATAAGAATCAATTGGAAACAAATTGCAAAGCCATGGAAGAAGAAAATAAACTCTTAAAAATAGCTTTGGAAGAAGTTAAAGTAAATTTAAACATAAATGACTACAATAGGTTAGGCAAGGAAATTCAACAGGAGAAACAGCTTTTGTCAGCACAGATGGAGGAAGTTACACAGGGAATAGAACAGTGCAAGAAAGATATGCAACTCACTTATGCACAAGTGGGCAAGGAGAAGGAAAAAATAGAAGAAGCAGTAAAGGAAGTCAAACACTGCAGCAACCAAGATAAAACAAACATTAGGCTAGAAGTGAGGAAAGAATTGGCATCTAACCCGAAGTTGGTGCAAAACACAGTTGATCGGAGTAAGTCCCTGATCATTTTTGGCTGCAAAGAAAAGGCGATAACATCTAGGTCAGAAAGAGCTGTAGAAGAAGCTAAAGTAGTAGATAAAATTGTTGGCCTCGTGGAAGGTCTTACAAACAGAGAGAATGTGTGCGACTACAGGAGAATAGGCAGGTACGTAAAAGGGAAAGATCGACCTTTGAGGATCACCCTAAACAGTGCCAAACAGATGGAAGAAGTACTAAGGAATGCTAGAAAATTGCAAAGGGATGAGGATGGGAAAGGGTGGTCATTAAGACGAGATCTTTCAAAAGAAGATAGAGAGAAGCTGAAACTGAACCTCGCCGAGGCAAAACATTTAAATGAGAGCAG